CTGCCAAGTGTGGCTAACATGCTGGCAACGTGGCAACAACATGTTTGCAACATTGCACAACATGTTGGCAGGATATTTTGGCCGCGCCAACATGTTGCTTCATGTTGCAAACATGTCGTTGCCACGTTGCCAACATGTTAACCACATGTGGCAGGTCTGAGATGCAGACCAAGGGTAGCAGCAAAACTGTGGAGGGGACGATATGTCTGCATATCCTCATTCTCTGATCTTCAAGGGCAAGTGCCAGCGCTGCGCGCTCGCAAAGCTTATTGCGAAACGGACGCACGCGCTACTCCACAAGAGATGCTTCGGCCTGGTCCGACTAGGACAAACTGTATTCGTTTCCTTACCCCATACAAAAGGCGCCTGCATATTTGCTGGATGTCCGCGCCTCCCTCCCCCTCCCTCGGAGACACATATAGTCCTCTACCTCTCCACCTGCAAACTTCCCCTGTAACGCTAGAGTGTGCCGCAGAGTAAAGACATAGGGGACTTGCAAAGACTCTGCATCTTCAGCTCTGGCGCTCTGCGTCCTATTGCTCACGTTCAAAGCGGAAGGAGTCAAAAATGCCTATCGTCTGCGCCCCAGAGAGGTTCCCATATGAACCAGCGTGCGTACGTGATGCGACGCTGCTTTTCGCTTTTTTGACATGTTTCACCTGAAATTTCAACGGAACTGCCGGAGGTTAACGCGTTCAAAAGAGCGAAAGGCAGCGAGATGACGTGGTACCTATGGGAATCTTGCTGGGGGTGGAGGAATGAACACCTCAATTTGGCACCGCCTCCGCGGACTACTGGTCCCAACACGACGTACAACAGCAAGATGAAAGGACCAGCAGCCCGCAGAAGCGGCGCCTAATTGAGGCGTTCGTACCCCAACCCTCTTGCTGGGGAACAAACGGTATATCTGCTAAGTTCACGCTCTTTAGCTGCTCGAACCACCACAAAAATAAGTGTAGGTAAGCGAATGCACGATGGCTTGAGACATTGCTTTCAGAGTACAAAAACATTACGGGTCAATTGCAAGTGGGAACAAACAGAAAAAAAATGCTCGATAGATACAAGCTGGCAAGCCTAACAAAATAGGGGAAGAAATAACTAAAAAACTTGTGTATGAGGTACAAGTATGAAGACAAAGATTAAATGCGTTGAGTCACATAGGATAGTTGGATGTTTTGCTTAGTACTAGTGAAAGAAGCTCGAGTAGGCTAGACAATCAACAACACATCAGTCAAAGGACAGGGATCGTTCAGACCGCGCCGGAACCCGCCCGGATACGTCCGAATCCGCCCGAATGTCCAAACGCCCAAACCCGCCCAATTACGTCCGAACCCGCCTGAACTGCCATCGGAGTAGTTACAATCGAGCTACGTGTGACTAAGATATATGCACTACGCGCCCAGTATTCCACGCGTGCTCCAATATGCCAATTTGCCGCATATCGGCTGCGCTTTGGCAGTTACGGCGTTCAGGCGGGTTCGGGCGGATTTCGGACGGATTTGGGCGGGTTTGGGCGGATTCGGACATATTTGGGCGGGTTTGGACGGATTCCGGCGCTGTCTGAACGATCCCATATGATTCTGAAACCTGAATTTGAAGATACTAGTTGGTACCGCCGATCATACCTGAGCCGGTCTCAATCGATCTAGATAGGTATATTGCGCTGCGGATCCCAGTGTACTGGAGGAAGACCTGCTAAGCCCCTTGAGTTACCGCAGCCCCTCACTGCGAAATAAAACTGAGCTTTACCGCCACGTTTACGCAAAAGCGGGAAGTTTGTTAGCAAATGATAAGATGGTCCAGCAAATAGCCGCGAAAAGTAGCCTAAGGTTCCGACCCGTTTCGAAGTGCGCAAAGTTTGGCGCCTACTGGTTCACACACGAAGGTTTCTACCGAACAAACGAGCAAAACAGTTAGCAACACGAGTTTTTGCTTATAGATGTATAGATCACTAGGAGAAAAAATGTGATATTCGCACTTACGAGCTTCTGTGTGATTCTGGAGCGATAAGTGCAAGCGCCTGGTGCATTGTTTGGAAACCGTCCACCACGACTACTGCTAACCCTACTATATCACTGACTTATGGCAGGCGCTTCTGACAGTATGTAAACTCAAGAACATGTTTTAACCAAGGTGCTGAGGATTGGCCTGTGTGTCAAGAAAGCCTATACTCACAGTTGTGAACCTTACACTCAATGTCAATTACATACTCCCTTTCGCTTGGCAACTACGCATGCGCAATGCAAGGGCCTGCGTGTGGACCTCCAATCGATAGGGCCAATTTGGGTGCCCGAGCCATCGCGAGTGAACGCGGCGCGAATCGCGTCCATAGGCCGCTATCGTCCGACGGTAGCCTTACTTCACCGGGTCATACTTCGGCAAAAGTTGATATGTGATATCATGAAGTTTGCCTTGAAACTCTAACCTCAACTATTTCTTATCTGCGAAAAAATTTTCTGAAAAAGTTACCTTCTTATCAAGTAATCCCTATGTCACACGTGCAACGTAACGCGGATTGATGCGAACGCCTCGCTAAAGTCTGCGCCACGTTTGCGGACGCCTAGTTTGACGTGGAGTCGCACAAGAACAACGCGACGCAGATCTTCCCACGTTGTTTTTGTCGCCGCACCTGGCCAAACGGTGCGTCCGCATATCTTGTCGGGCGGCCGCATTAGTCAACGTTACATGGCTAACGTGATTGAGGGATTGAGAAAGATGGTAAACGGCGCTCCTAGTACCGGTGTTGGTAAGAAGTGAGAAATAGAGGTGCCAAAGAAGGCAACTTGTCCAGTGATATTCGAGGGATAACTGCACTGAGAAAACGGGTTTGATCTCAACTCGAAGCTGTGGTTGCGTTTGCTTCGACGGACGCTTCTCTGTTCGAGTGAATTTTGGCAAAAGAATTTTTTTTAAGCGTTTCAAGGCAAGCTTCTTGATAAACAGGGCATATCAAAAGGCACGATCGCTTGTATATTTCGAATGTACGTGTTCAAAAAGCGCGATGCTCATTATTGTGCCATCAAACTAAACGCTACAATACTTCCCGAATACTAGCCGCATCTCAGCAGTGTTGCGTCACCAACGCAGACAGTGAAAACCGGACATAACGCGTTGGTATCTGCCTGTATAGCTTATGTCATGTTTTACTTGCGACTATCGTAAACTCAAAGAGCCGCAATCTGACGAGTGAAGAGATTTTTTGTCTGCATTGGTGACTCCAACTGCTTGACTAGTCTTTTACGTTGAAGTTAAGAAGCAAGACAGGATAGGAAAATCCAGAAAATTGCCAAACAACGTTTGACATGGTTAGGTGAGAGGGAATTGCACGTCCCTAGCTCGTTACCGTTGTTCTCTGACTAATGCAGTACGAATTGATTTGCCACGACTAACGTGAACAATGGTCATTCATGTCCAGCAACAAAGAGAGGGGGTGTAACCTATGAAAATTTCCAATAGGCGAAGGGAAACTCTACGGAAAGCTGTGTATATCACTTGGTAATCAACCTGCATACAAGCGATGATGTCCTGCCAGATGATGTTTTCGTCCGCTATACACGCCACAATGGACTAAAAAGAATGCCGTTTTTATGTCATCACGAGCATGCAGGTTCTATGCACTAGAATTGATATAGAAGCCTTCGTGAAATCTTTATTGAAAGAATCACAGCTCATGAAAGCTAGACAAACCTGGAACTCCTCTAGCTTTTCCGATGAAACACAGTCGCATGAGCTAATCGAATAGCCGGGTGAGATCGATTGATGCGAATCATTGCCTCAGATGTAAGATGAAAGAAACTACCGCTTTAACCGTTCAAACTAGTATTCGTTTTCAAAATGTACGTAAGGACCACTAAGTAAGCTGATAAACTGGTGACTGATTCTTCTTGTGGACAGAATTAGAAGACTATCGATGTGTCGCCTATTTCTCAAAGATAACCCAAATATTCGCACTACATTGAGTGTTGATCAACCTCTCACCGCTGCGACGAATTCAACACGCATTCAGGACGATGTAGAAGCTCCAACCTGTAAAAATCAAATGAAACAGAGGAATGCGATCGAAAGCCGCACATGTGACGCGTGCGCCGCCGGATGCCGACAACTCGTACGAAATACGGCGGCCTCGCCACGTTCAAACAAGTTTGCGGAAAGAATATTCCAGAAGAACACCTGTGAAAGAACGTGATTTGCAGAAGCGTTCCTTCGAGGATTGTCGTCCTGTTCCGTTCTAGGGTACTTTCCGTTCTTGGTGGAGAATCTGTCACAAGAACATTGATATAGCAGCGAAGCAACAAGTTGGCACGAATCAAAACGGACGAGGAAGTTTCTCTCCTCCATCTAAGTATATTATCAAATGAAAGTGGTTATAACAAGAAAGGTTCAACATGATATGGAAAATTTTGGGATTTTCCGATGATGTCATTCTCTACGTAATATTGCGCTCTATTCCTGCAGACACGCCAACGCGACGTGGCTCTTATCGCTCGACTTCGATTGCTCTGCGCCCCTGTGTGCAGAAGGGAACCACTACGTAGCTGTTGACTTCCTTCGATCACTTTTCTAACTTGTCATTGAGAGTTAATTTGCTTTGATCCTTTATATCTAGATCAAACAGTGTGCACTTTTGAAGATGGTTCTGCAAGTATTGGAAAGTGATTTGATCACCATGAATCGACCATTAATGTGTTCCATGGTTTGTATACACTCAATGCAAACAAAAAGAATGCGCCGCGTGGAACATGTGCTACTTCTACTTCTAAATACAAAGTGAAAGATGATAGGGATAACGTTCGATGGTGGTGCTGCTTTTCGCTTGCGATTTCTGTAAAATCGGATGCCGCGCGTCTAAGGTAGGTGCCAGAGTAAGCGAATATTTTGTTCAGCTTCCTTCAGCTGCAAAAGGCGCACAGAATTAATGTTTGCTGCATAATCTCTACTGCTGCTAAGGCCTGCTTCAGCTGCGGGTCCCGCGCAGAATCAACGTTAATTCTGTGCGCCTTTTGCAGCTGAACGAAGCTCAACAAAATATTCGTTACTCTGGCACCTAGCTAATTGCCGAAGGCCTCGGGCAGACTCACGCGGTTTCATCTCCTCCGATTTTCCAAACAAGAAGACTGTTACAGTCTGCCCCAATCCTAACCAGGCCAAAATTGGCATGGCGGGAGTCCGCGTCGCTAGGGTTTCGCGGTCACGCCCACAGCCTGCTTCTCTGCTCTCTCTGCAGTCCCTTTGCTCTCTCTGACAGCGCGCATATGCAGCGCAGACCTCCAGCGCTGCGAGCGCGCAAATTTACGCCGACGGTTCGGCCTGATCCCGATTGGAGCAGACTGTAGAAGTATCATCGGCTTCCAGATTCGTGTGGAGGTGGAGTCTTGCCAACTCACAAGTGGTGGTTTTTGCTAGCGAGAGAGTACGAGAAGCAATGCTATAACGTGGAGGTTTAACAAGTTTATCCGTTTATCAAGCGAAGTCTGCAATACACCTCCACACGAATCTGAGGGACCCGTCATACTTCGCCGAAAAAAGCCCGAAAAAGCCCAAAAAAGCTCAAAAAAGCCCGAAAAAGCCCAAAAAGCCCAAAAAAGCTCAAAAAAGCCCAAAAAAGCCCGAAAAAGCCCAAAAAAGCTCAAAAAAGCCCAAAAAAGCCCGAAAGCGCCAGAAAGAGCCGGAATGTAGAAACGAACTTTTGGTAGAATTCTGACATTATCTTATCATGCGGACGATAGAAAATGACAAAAAGGCTCGATTGCGAAGTCAACACACATGCCTTAGCGCCAAAACGTGCGAGAAGGCTTTTTGGGGTTCCGGCTCTTTCTGGCGCTTTTGGGCTTTTTCGGGCTTTTTTGGGCTTTTTCGGGCTTTTTTGGGCTTTTTCGGGCTTTTTTGGGCTTTTTCGGGCTTCTTTGGGCTTTTTTCGGCGAAGTATGACGGGTCCCTGAGAGCCGATCATATTGCATGTCGATTATCTTGCATTTCGGTTGCGATAGTTAGTCACGATTAGTCGTGTCAGTAAACTACCCAGCCGAAATCTAACATGAACGACATGCTGATTTGTAACTGTTGCCTTGCTGGAGAATCGCGAGGCGATGAAATCGCGTGAACTCTGCCCGAGACCTTAGTGTAGGTTGTACCACCACTGAGCACTAGCACGGTGCCTCCCTCAAAATTGTCCCCATATGAACCGTCAACGTGGCTGTCTTTCATCATTTCAACATGTCAACTTCAAATAAGCGCCTTAAATTTGCTGGAGATAACGTGTTAAAACAATCGAAAGGCAGCCAAGTTTATGGTTCATACGGACAATTTTGGGAGATGCAGGATAATTAACGATCCCATTGTTCAAGAGACATTAGCATTTGAGTGTCGAATGAAGCAGAGACTCTCTTTTATTGAGACTGTATCGAGGGCCGGGCATATATAACGGAATTTCATTGCCTCCAGATTCTCACCCAACAAGACATCTGTCACGTATTCATTGCATGGTGGTCATTTTGCATTTCGGTTGTGATAGTTAGTCGCTTTAGTCGAGTCGGCAAATTATCACAGCCGATGCAAGATGATTTCCATGCATGAACTCGTAGCAGTTGTCTAGTTGGGTGTATCGCGAGGCGATGAATCGCTTGAACTGTGTCCGGCCCTTTAAAAAGGCCTATTATACCTCCGTTACACTCTGGTATAAATACCATTTTGAATAATTGATTGTATGACACAGGGGCTGTTACTGTGAGATATATTGCATGTGAACATTTGCAACTGAAGCACTCGTCAAGCGCCTAAAAGTGCTGAGAAGCCCTCAAAAGTGGCCGTTTTTCTTTGTTCTCTCTCTATGCATTCCTCTCATCTCTCCTCACACACGTTCCGAGCTAGTATAGAAGCGCCAGCATGTTACGTGGAACATGTGTGAGGAGTGATGATAAATGTCTTGGCGCTTTGGCACTTTTGAGCGAAGTGTGACGGGTGCCAGGTTTTCATGGTGTTTCTCAGTATGACAATTTATTAATGTGGAAAATATAGCTTGCTTTTCACCTTCATAAACGCTCTATTCCAGGATTTAAACGATTCTACTTGGATTTCGCTAAATTGTACTTTACTTTTGTTTCATCGTCTCTCCACAAGACTGACATCGAAGTAAGTTTTGCTTATTGTTCGACTGTGATCCATCTCTTAGAAAGTCTCCAGCTGAGTTTACCAAAGGAGTTGTATAGCTTCATCATGTTTGTTCGACAGAATAAACTGGTTGAATCGATTGCACATGTAAATCAGAAGTTATGTGTTTGTGTGATACCTTATCATTTCATTTGCAGATCTTTCAATTTACTCGGTTAGTCAAAGCATTTCTTGCACGCTCACGATGAGTTACGGTGGCTACGGAAATCGTGGTGGTTACGACTATCAAAGGAGAGATCGTATTAATGAAGAAGAGGTTCCTGAATCCAAGCATACCATTTTCATTCGTGGTTTGCCTGGTGATATGTCGACCGATGAGATCAAGTGAGTTCCCGTTGGTGGTGTAACTTTTCTGGGTCGCATTTGTTGGGAATATTGGTTTGCGATAAGATAGGGAATAGTCCCTTGTTCTCCTCTCACTACGTTTCACAGCACTCTATATTATTATTGGTTTGTTGTTATCAATAAGGGAATAACAAATGATCTTTCCAGCTATAAAAAACTCTTGATTCATGATAGTCGATATTTAATGAACGCCAATTAACTGGAGGAGATTTTCGCCGTTGGACGTTACTGTCTTCCCTATCTGTTACTCTATACCATTGTTTGCCCTTTGGATAGAGTTTTGCAATCGTTGCCTAGGAAAGGTGCCCTGAGCATCATCATGTTAAATAAATTGGTTCACATTTCTCAATGTTTTCTTCTCCCAAAGGTGAGTGGTGGTGACATGCGGGGAATTGAACTTCAGAGAATCATTCGCTTTCTGCCAGATGTACTGAATTCTTTGACTAATACGCTTCCTTCAGAGAATATTTCGAGGACAGAATCGGCCCAGTGTCTTTCGATTTTGTAAAAACGAGCGCTGATCAACAACGTTTGTTTGTAGCTGTTCGTTTTGAGACCAGAGACGATGCAAAAGAAGCAATGAGCAAGTGAGTTTACTTCTATCTCATGCGCTCAGGAGACAATCTGTAAGTTAATTCTTGCTCGCTATATGTTCGTATTTCAGATATAGCGATAGTGAACTAATGGGACATCGGTGTGAATTGACATGGTTCAAAGATATTCGTCGTTATGCACAATATCAAAGTCTGAATCAGCAAAGTAAGTGCTGATTCTTGTTTGGAAATGACATAACGTCGTTGGTAGAAGTTGCAGGACGTGGACGACCAGCATTTCGTAGAAACTACCAATACAACAATACTAGCAGAGATCGCGGTAGAGACGCGTATGTTTGGATTACTCTTTACTGCTCTTCGTTGGAAGTTGCTATAGTTGTCTGTGGACATCATCTGTAGGAGTACATACAGAACTGCCATCTGCTTGGAGAGGTGGCAGCGGCATATTAGCCCCTGTATCAAATTCAAGAGCAAGATTCGCTTGTTTGCGGAGAATTCAATGCTTATGTTCATATTTCCAGGCCTAAACGACGTTATTCTGATCGCGATGATGACAGAAGCCGTTCACGATCAAAAGACAGAGATCGTTCGTCGAGCTACAGTCGTTCTCGAAGTGGAAGGTGCGTATGGCATTCGCACATGTGCTTCTCTTACCATATACTTTTCGTAGGTCCGGTTCGTCTAGAAGCCGATCCCGCAGCAGTGATCGTGCTGGCAGTGAAGAACGTAAACGCTCATCTTCGCGAGATTCGAATGATGCAGGTGCAGATCATGAGAAGGGTGATGGAGATCCTGATCGAAAGCGTCGCAAGAAGGACAAGAAGCACAGAAAATCGTAAGCTGTTTTAGATGAGTTTCGTTTCAAAATAGGCTTTTTTCTTTTCAGAAAGAAGAAGCACAGCGGATCCCGCTCGCGTAGTTCATCTGAGGGACATTCTTCTACACCTGAGCAAGCAATATGTGAGTACCATGAGTAGGGTCGTTGTCTTGATTAGGAAGAAAAGACAAGCTTTTGATTATCAAACATTTTGTAATAAATAAATACGTTATTACAGTCGGTCGTCATGCTCCTGCTGGTACCCCGATATCACCAAATCAAGAGGATTCGCCTAATAATACTGTTCCCGCCGCAGCTCCAGCCGTCAGTTCTACGTCTGTCACCAGTACCACACCTGCACCACCTACAAATAGTGAAGCGCAGCACTCACATGCGGATATAGCTCTACCGCCGCTTCCTCCTCCCATCATAACAACAACCTCTGCACCTGTTCGGATTCCGATACGCATACAGACACCAGCTAGTGTGATTAGTAACACTACTTTTGCGATCGGCATTGATTCGGTAGTCACGAACTTTTTCATCCTCAGTACCCCGTAATCCATACATTTTCAGGATGAGTTACCACGCAAGGTAATGCGTAACGTCTCTCCAACTGGACCTGTCGTGACCCCACCGTCTGTTGCTGCACAGGAGGAAGAAAAACTTGCTCATGGTACTTCTTCATCTGCTCTTCTCATACTCTTTTGCGGCATCAGAGGCTAGAACTTCGCAAATCTTTCAACTTTTAGAAACAATGGAAACTACTATGACAGCAATAGGTCTTCCTCCTCCACCTTGTCCACCATTGTTTTCCAGTGAGAAGAAGTGAGTGTTTCAGTTTTTTTGATTTGGAGGAAATTGGCGATTGGAGTCCAGAGTTTGATTGGAGTCTTGGATATACCCTTGTTTGCTGGATAAAGTCATGTCCTTTAATTCTAAGACTTTTCGCTGCCACTATGTCTTCAAAGAGAAGGCGGCGCCATATTTCAGACGGCACTATTTTACCAAATTTCGTGCTTGACTTTAATTGCTATTTATGCATGTATCGGCTACAGGTGCAAACCCTCTCATTTAGCTCGTTACCTTCGTACAAAGCAACATTCACACCTAGTAGTTGTCATGGCGATACCGTGCCTTATCTCCATGCCAACCATTCCACATTCAGTGATCAGAAGTATGAGTTGCTTTTACGAAACTTATTGTCTCCGATTCTCATTGTTTTGTGATGGAATGTAATATAATTTTTCAGAAGCAGCTCGGTTGCGCAGAAGTCTGATCAGCAGGACATAAAGCCTGCTACACTTTCATCCGAAGTGACTCCTGCTGCATCTAATCAGCAAGACACAATTTCTTCCTTTGTGCGTTTTGCTTTTCTATACCTTTTAGTTGTCAGCATAATTTATTTTTTTACAGAATGAAACGTCTGCTAGTTCTAAGTCGAACTCGACTCGTTTTCCGACGACATCGCGTTTATTCAGCAACCTGAAAGAGATACAATCTAATATCATCAAGACAGTCAAAGTAGAACCAAAACAAAATGAAGGTTTGCACAACTAAAAAAAAACAAAACAAAAACAAATTAGAGGTCATTTTCATAAACGATTCGTTCCAGGATTTGGGGGCCTACGACTTAGTAGCTTGGCTACGAATCAGCAGGACAGCGACGATGAGAAACGTATCATTAGGGAGAATAGACTCTCAAAGTTGGATGAAATATCTCTTGAACGTTTTATGGTGAGGAAGAAGAAGCTGGAGGAGGTACATTTTTATTTGCTTTCCATTTCTGATGTGATCTTTACTATTGAAAACTTTTTTTCCAGACTTTCCGTGGCGATTGTCAAACTTATGCTTTTGTCACGAAGAAGCTTATAGAAAAGGATCCTTCACTTGAATCGCAGCTTCGCATTGCTTTGATTGAAAATATGGAAGATCTCGAAAAACAAGTCTACGAACAAATCGATGCATATCTCGATACTGTTTGTGACTAAAGTAGATACTTCTTCATTAATCTACAGATCTGTTATGTGTTTTAGTTATTGTAGTTAACTTTGGTGTAAAATTGCTTCCAGTTTCTAGCAAAGCTTGCTAAGATATTGTATGGTTCGCTTCTAGCTTTCTCGAGACAATATCTATGATATCTCATGTGTGTTTTGTGAGTCGTGCACGTGGAAGATATGTGTCGATCGATTTCATTGAGAATAATCAAGTCATTTCTACAATATTCAATAAAAATCGTACTTACACGGCCTTGATCTAGCATGACAGGAAAAGAACATGGCAGAAGAAGAATTTGCGCAAGTGATTAAAAAGTAACGCAACGGCTGATGTTGAAAATGCTTGACGTAGTTTACGGATCATAGCAATTATTCACGTTATTATTTTATTATTTTTATTCAATTATCATAGCATTATTCACGTTTGTGCTTCCACGCTGAGCGGCCGCTTTTGTATTTTCTCTCACAGCTCACTGTTTGTTGCTGTTCTGTCTTCAGTTGCGTCCCTCCTTTTCAGGTGAGACGTTTATTTTCATATTTTTGCTTTGTCCTTACCAGTGGCTATCATTTTCATCTTCTTCTGAGTAATCTTTGGAGTTTTCTTTTGAAACTTCTGGCGATTTTTTTTTGTGCAAAACCAGTGCAACCACTAAGTCAAAAAAAAAATCAACATGGCACCAAAAACAGTCAAAAAGATTGCATCTGGGACCGAATCAGCCAAGAAATCTGTTGATGCAGGTAGTCAGACGTATGATGCTGAGTTTTCAAATCTATCCGTTGCAGATTTGATTACCAGCATTAGAGATAGAAACAGTGACCCCGTGATCGACAGATTACTCTGTGCATTGTGTGAGAAAATACCCATGGCAGCTCATTGTGATCTGGAAGCCGAGAAACGCAGTCGTAGCATTGTAACAAGCGGCATCCCTGAAGCAAAAGAGCAAGTTCCTTTCCACCAGCGGTGCCTCCAGCTGGAAATCACCGTTGGGGAAATATTGGATGTGTTGAAAGTTGAATGCAGGCCTGTCGAATTGTACCGATTGGGAAAGCCTAATCCGTCTCGCCCCAGGCTGATTAAAGTTGTATTTCCCTCTCGATACTATTGGCGGCTTGCTTTATCAAATTCGCGGTTACTCAAAAATAATGGCTATTCTAACATTTATGTTAGAAAAAGTATGACGGCAGAGGAAAGGGCCCGCAATTATGAACTCCGGCAACAAGCTCGCGAGCGTAACAAGGGCATGGCCACCAAAGAGTGGGTAGTATATCGCGATGAATTAGTTCACATCTCTAAGCTTCCTCGCAGAAGCTCGGGAAACGTCTGAACAGGCATGGTGAGACTGATTCATTACAAATAATCCTTTTTAACGCACGAAGTCTAAGAACTAAATTGAACTATCTGCACGCTTTTGTCTATGAATACAAACCCGACTTACTTTTTATTACTGAAACTTGGCTTAATGTAAAAATACTTGATTCTGAGGTTGTGGGTGGTATGCCTTATGTGCTATACAGAAGTGACAGAAATAATCGAAAAGGTGGTGGTCTTTATTGCCTGGTAAAAGGTAACATAGCATCTAGATGCACAAATATTGAAATGTCTTTGCTAGCAGATGTGTTGATTGTCACTATTATCCATCCACAATCCTTACGCCTACGATTCATCGCGATATACCGCCCACCCAGCTCTAGCAAAGATAATGATGATCAACTGATGAATGTGATTAGTTCTTATACATATTCTTCTGATCATGATAACACGATTATTCTAGGTGACTTCAATCTGCAAATCGACTGGGTCACTATGAAGGTCACTAATAGTGCATCCGTATCATTTTTTGAGTATTTTCAACATAATGATTTCAAACAATTTGTCTCGCATCCTACGCATGGTGACCATATCCTTGATCGAGTCCTCTCCTCTGACGCACGAATTTCTAATCTTGATATTCTCCCACCGCTTGGCTCCTCTGATCATGGGATGGTTCAGTTTGAGTGTGAGGGCCCTGCGACCATGGGTTTGCCATCCATACCCCTTCCTGACTTTCATAGTGTTGACTACTCTGCACTGAATGATTTTCTTTCTAGAGTTGACTGGCTTGCAGAATTTGACCAATATGAGTCGTGCTTAGAAGTTTACCTTAGATTTTGTAAGATAATTTATTCTGGCCTTAGCATGTTTGTTACTATGAAATATCCCAGCGACACACTTATAAAACTCCCTCCTCACATTGACGCACTCAACTTGCAAAAATGCCGGCTTTTCGACAAATTGCATGATCCACTACATAGTCCCATGTATAAAAGAGTGTGCCATGACCAGGGTTGAGCAAGAGGTCAGGCACAAGGGGAGACGGTCAAGAGGCGCGATTTCTCTGGCTGTCACCAACTTCAATCTCCAGTTTAGTGCTATGCAAGTCTTCAAAGATTACCAGATAAAGTACATTAGCTTACTATCTGTCTAAGGTCACCACTTGCTGAGTTTCATGGTTTTTGTTATAAATCGGAATGAAATATTTACGAATTTGTTCTGAAATGCGTTTTCATGAGTTTCTGACCTTCAAACTTGCTTTATTGAATTTTTTCGAGAGTATCAAGATTGAACAACTCATGCAACTATCTAATATATCTTCTTCTAGAATTCATATACTTCTAGAAAGTTGCAGAACACTTATAATGTGCTATTTGGTGTCTAGCTGGCAATAAAAATCGCGCCTCTTGACATACACCCAGGCACAAGTCTTTCCAAAACGACCCCCCCCCCCAGTGAAAGCCCCTAAACGACCCCTCTGCTTCACCTCCAGGACCTCAGGCTGTGATAATTCCAAGAGATCAGCCGTTTTTGGGAGGTTCTTGTTTTTTGGAGGTCTGTAGGTCGACTTTCTGCGATTGCACAGCACACGCAACTTGACGGCAAGTTTTGGATTTTGGATAGCCCTACTTTTAGATCTATAATTCCCACAGGGGTGTATTGTTTGGCTCCAAATTTGCAGTATTGCAAGAAGAGGCTTTGAGTTCAATACTCATAGCAGAAATGGAGCGATTTTTAGATTCTGAAAACAAGTTAATCGGGTCAGGCGCAACCCCTCAAAAGCTCAGGCGGCCTGACCTTTTATGGGGTTGCGCCTGACCCGATTAACTTTATCATTGAAGAAGCTTTTTTATTCAAGTTTTATGTGAATCGCTAGCACAACCCTCGAAGATTCCACAGTAAGTGTTTGGACTTGATTCGACTTGTTTCGGCCTTGTGGTAATCCGTGGAGTTGGAGCAGTCATGGAGAAAAACGCGCCGGTCGGAATCTTGGCATTATTTCTTACTCCACTATTTGCAAGCGATACAAAGCGCGATTTTTAGCCTAGACTAGTAGGGGACAATACTTTGTTACGAGTACAAGAAAATTGACTTTTCTCACTTTTGAAAACAAGTTAATCATGTTTGAAAATCACGCTTTTTAGTCGTTGAGAAACACTAGATAATGCAGTAAATAATGGTTTGTAGGGCTCATAGAAGTAATTTGACGTGCTCGGAAATGATACCCATTTCACACAGCAAGCTTCCTTGATGATTCATAATATGTCAAGGTAGAAGATGAAGATTTGAGTTTTGGCCGAAACTTCGATTGTGGAATCAATCAGTATGCTGTTTAAGACCGTTCTTTCCTTCAGTACTGGTGTGGTCGCGATATCCACTAAACTAGCGCTCTTCTTCTTCACCTTAATCGTAGTATCTCCTCAATCGAACGAATTCGATTCCTAATCACGACCCCCCCCCCCTCTGTCTTACCCCAATACGACCCCCCAGGTCGGGCGCGCCTGACCCCACGCTCAACCCTGGCCATGACATTGATTTCCATATGCAAAAGTTTTTAGCTAATCGAGAGCGTCGCCTTGCTTCTAAAGCATGCGCTCGAAATTTGTATAGATATATAAATTCCAGAATGAAAGCTAGTGCCAGTCTCCCTACTCTTGAAGATCATTCTGGGTCTAGTTATTATGATGATGCGGATAAAGCGAGAGTCCTAGGTGCTTATTTTGCCAGTGTTTACAATAACGATGATGATTATGAATCTTCTGCACGCAGTAACTCTGTAACACCAGACAATCATTCTATAAGAGTGTACTTTGAACCGTCCGAAGTTTTCAAGTTTCTCAAAAAATTAAAACCATCTGCCACAGAAACTTATGATGGCATTCCTCAAATTGTCTACAAAAGGTGCGCATCCGCTTTATCTGCCCCCTTAGCCCACATTTTCAATATTTCTATGATGTTGGGTGAGGTGCCAAATTTATGGAAGCATGCCCTTGTCACTGCCATCCCAAAGATACAAGGAGCCAAGTTAATCAGTGATTTTCGACCCATCAGTCTTTTACCAGCACCAGCTAAGGTTATGGAAAGAATCATACGAGGTAGGTTGCTGGCAAGGCTGAATAAATTACATCTAATCCCAGCTGAGCAGCATGGCTTCATCAATGGTGCTTCTACCACAACAAATCTTGCTGATAGTACCTATGACTGGATTTTAGCTCTAAACCATAAGAAATCCGTGGATGTACTGTATATCGATTTATCCAAAGCGTTTGACAAGGTCTGTCACTCTAAGCTTCTTGAAAAGCTGAAGGAAATCGGTATTGATGGTCCTCTTTTCAACTGGTTTAGCTCCTATCTACAAAACCGTTTTATGACTGTCAAAGTACGCAATAAATTTTCGGATGCATATCCTTGTGTAAGCGGCGTTCCCCAAGGAGCAGTTCTCTCCCCTCTGCTTTTTCTCATATATACGCTTGATATACCAACAATACTCCGAACGTCCCCAAACATACGGATACAATTATATGCAGATGACATAAAGATATATGGTGCTTACAGTTATGATAATCGATTGGAGGTACAATCAGCATTGCAAGAATCGCTCACTAAACTGGTCACTTGGGCCAATCACTGGCGTCTAGCAGTTAATCTGAATAAAAGTTTTGTCTTACATATGGGTGACCAGTATGCAGGCACTTATATGGTAGATGATACAGCTTTGAGGATGTGTTGCTCAGCTAGGGATTTGGGAGTCATTATTGATTCGAAGCTCAAATTCTCTGAGCAGATTGATGCTGTTAGGCTGCGTTCATACTGATTCCCATGTTCTG